TATAAAGATGTACAGTCTTTCACAATCAGCTGCCCTTTCAATCCATTTAAATTATAATACTAACAGCTAACATGTCTTGAAGGCCAACCATGAGCCACGCCTTACAGGCAGGAGGGCACAACATAGTGTTTCTTTAACTTGCCAGGTCCTCATATCATCCAGGGGGCCTGTTGCATCCACTGCTCCCCAGGCTCCACCCCAGCTAAGTTGAATCAGAATCTGAGACAGGCCCGGGAACTGCTCTTTTAACAGGAATCTCAGGTGATTCTTAGGATCAGGCAAAATGTGGACCAATGGCATAGTGGTTAAGGTGTGAGGTCCATGATCTATTCTACCATTTACATGTTTTATGGCTTCCGGCAACTTAACCTCTCTGAACCTCAGTTATGTATCTAGGATTTCAGAATGATGACAGCATCTGCCTGTAGGGTACTCAGAGGAATAAATGAGATAATGGTCATTAACCACTTAGACTAATTCCTGGCACATAGCAAGCTCTCAACAGTATCACCAACATCACTCATCTGAATGGCCCTATAAAAGTATCAACCCTATGAACTGATCTGAATGGCCATGTAATAGTATCATCCCTATGATTTTTGCTCAGTGCCACACAATTAGCAATGAAAGTGCCTGAGACCAGGACTTAAACTCACAACTGACCATCTCTGAAGCATTAAGTGCCTGCACAGCAACTTCTCAGAAGCCTTCGCAGCAAGAGAAGGAGAAATTGAATGGGCAGAGGGCCCAGTGGCATAGAACAACCCATATATTCAGGTTCTAGCTCCAAATTCAGGTCTGAATTCAGCTCATGTTGCATTCTTAGGAGCAGCCATTAGGCACATGCTACACCCAGAAAGATGCCCCCGAGCCCTATGTATTAAGGAAGGAAAGGCTGACTTGGACTTACTCTTGCATCTGCTTCGACTCCTCTTCTGCACAATACACACACCTACCCCCCTTTGGGAACCATCCAGAATCCCCACTCTTTCTCCAGCTCTGCCCAAGGAGTTCCTCTCCTGGGAGGCAGATCAGGTACAGAGTTTGAGATTCTGGCCTGGAGAACAGGGAAGACCTAAGCTTCATTTCTCAGTTATAAGGCCTCTCACAGTTACTTCACTTCCTGGGACCTTCTCTCAATGGGTCCTAGGCTCATTTGCAATAATGCTCTAGGCAGAGTGCATACCTCACTGGTCAACTAATCAGTAACGCTAGGCCTCAGCCTACCACCTGTCCTTTCTCTGAATTCCCCCAACCTAACCTAATATTTCAGTTAAAGTGGGGCCACCCGTGACTCACACTTTACACAGAGCTTGTTTTATCATGAGCCCTCATTCATTTGTTCACACAAATATGCCCCAAATACAGATGATACAGAAATAAACAGGGCCCAGCTCCTGCTACTGAGGCCTTAGGGAAAGACCATAAACTAGAAGGTGGAAAATTATATAGAGCATTAAAAACTAAGGGCTGAGGTGGTGCCAACTCCGCTACGGGAAGTCAGAAGAGGTAAAGTTCATCCTGTGTTTTGCAGTTTAAATAGGAGTTCACCAAGCAGAGCGAGACATGCCCAACAGAGAGAATACCAGTGCAAAGGCTCATTCAGGAAAGCAGCCCATTGTGTTCAGGAATGGTGAGAAGCTGTGAGGTAGGGGAGGGAATGAGGGCCGAAGTGATGAGAAATGGTTTTCAACTGGATCTCTGCTCCAGACAGGGGTATTTAGTCCTAATTTACCCTGCAAGCAACTCGGACTGGTTGAGGTTTTCTAAGCAAGCAAGTAACATTATTAGATTGTTTTCTCTAAACTCAGTGGTGAGCTCCCAGCACTAAAAAGGAGCTTTGATGGAGCATGAAGAGGTGAAGAGAAGCCATTTCAGTGAATAGAGGACAGGGTGCCAGAGACTGTCTTTCCTCACTCCTGGTCTGGCCTGCAGCCCCACCATCCACCCCACTAACGCCTGGCTCAGCAGACAGTGTACTCTGGTCAGGTCCCTGGAACACCAGGCTCCAGAAGCTGTTAACAGAGTAAAGGGGAGACAGAGAGCAGAGGAGGGGGAACCAACTTCAAAGATAAACAGAGGAGGAGCTAGAGAAATATGATGTCGTGTCTAATGGCTCATGAGCTTCCAGCTAGATAGACTATCTTCAAATTCCACTTCTACACTTTACTACCTGCCATGACCTTGAGTAATTCACTTAACCTCTCTCACACTGTTTTTTTCTTTCTTTCTTTTTTTTTTTTTTTGAGATGAAGTCTTGCTCTGTCGCCCAGGCTGAAGCGCAGTGGCGCAATCTCCACTCACTGCAACTTCTGCCCCCCAGGTTCAAGCAATTATCCAGCCTCAGTCTCCCAAGTAGCTGGGATTACAGACATGCACCACCACGCCTGGCTAATTTTTGTACTTTTAGTAGAGACGGGGTTTCACCATGTTGGCCAGCGTGGTCTCAAACTCCTGACCTCAGGTGATCCGCCCACCTCGGCCTCCCAGAGTGCTGGGATTACAGTCTTGAGCCACCGTGCCTTGTCAAAACTGTTTTCTTATTAAATGGCAGTAACAAGTCCCATTCACTTCAAAGGATTGCTCTGAAACTGATTTATTTCAGGTGATGAGGATAGCGGCCACTGTAGGGAATACTGGCTCCCTAAATGTTATTAAACTGATTCTTAGTATCTTCATTTTCATCTTATGTGTCTTTTATATGATGTGATAAAAATCCCTCAGGCTAAAAGATCTTCAAATATAGCAGGCCCATGGAAACTCAGGATGGAATTAGCCCTCCTGAGACGCTCCCAGTGCTGCTGTTTCTCCTATGTGAGACTCTAATCAGTTCCTTCCAAGTTGCTTTCTGCCCTCCTTGGCAGCTTGCAGTTTCTGGAAGATCACATTTCCCACCTGACCCAGTGGGCCCAGGGGAGCTGTGGACCTTGTAGCTCAGGGTTTTTCAGAGGTTTCACATGACAACCTGGCAGGGTGCAGCTGTTCCCAGCAAGGGTATTAATAATACAGGCCTTTTTCCGCAAACTCTGGCAAAGAGTCTAAAATGACAAGTGAAAACACGGAGTCCAAATTCTCACTGGGGCTTAGGGCAGAGGAAGCCAAAATAGCTCGCCTTTATCAAGGCTAAATCATGGAACTAAATCAGAGTTCTGTTAGGGGTGGTGGCTGAGGGAAACCGCTGGTGATAAAAGAAAAGAAGTGGAGGAGGAACCACAGGGGAGGGAGCCACAGTCACACTCCTTACAGAATAAACTATCTCGCCTAGGGCAGTTTCAGAAGAAGGCTTCAGAGACCTCGGGAACAGAGAGAAAGAAGTCCATTCGCCTTTCAGGCTGAGGAGCAAATTGGGCCATGGATTTCATCTCAGCAATAGCCAGTAAACATAGCAACTGCTATACTCAGACATCTAGCCCAGGAGACTTTATAAAGAACAAGCCAATCTAACCTCACCAGCAAGCGACAGATGGAGAAGGTCTTGGCAGGATTTTTGTGTCCTTTGTTCATATTGTATAAGCACCTAAAACAGTGCCTAGCATTAAAGCACTCAGTACATATGAGTGACTGAAGAAACACGTGTGTGGGGGGAGAATATAAATCAGCAGCTCCAGTTAGTAGCTATACAGAGGTAAGCAAGCCATCCAGTCTCTAGGAGCCTCTACTTCTTCATCAGGAAAATGGGGTAATGACACTTACTTTGAAAGCTTCTTATAAGAATTAACTCCAGGTACGGTGTCTCATGTCTGTAATCCCAGCACTTTGGGAAGCTGAGGTGGGAGGATCAGGAAACTGAGGTCAGGAATTCAAGACCAGCCTGGACAATCTGGTGAAACCCTGACTCTAATAAAAATGTAAACAATTAGCCAGGTGTGGTGGCACATGCCTGGAATCTCAGTTACTCAAGAGGCTGAAGTAGGAGAATCGCTTGAACCTGGGAAGTAGAGGTGGCAGTGAGCCGAGATCAGGCCACTACACTCCATTCTGGGTGACAAAGCAAGATGCTATCTCAAAAAAAAAGAATTAAATAAAATGATGTATGTTAAAACCTCTAAAAGAATGCATGGTGGAAAGAAGGCACTCAATAAATGGACTTTAATCTTCAGCTACAAATTAGACCTCAATCTTCAGCTATAAATCAGACCTCGACTATCATCGCTCTATTTCCAATTCTCATGGAGGAGGGGAAGGTGGGGGGGGTGAATAAAAAAGGAGTGTAAACCAACTGAAGATGATCAATCAAAGGAAAGCAAAGGAAGACCCACAGGTCACACCTCCCCATCAGGTACTTTGCTGGGTCTCAGAATTCTCAATGGTAGAATGCAGGAAGGTGGGTTGTTCTGTGGCCTTCACACTGTGTGCAGAACTCTAGAAAGCCCATGGAGACCCTGAGGGGTTGCCTTGGGGTAGGAAAGAAGGAGACCAGTGGGCCCCAAGCAGTATCAGGCAGCTTTCTATGGGAGGCTGTCCTCGGAAGGGACAGTCCCACACTTGGTCCAGTCTGTGTAATCTAATGCTTTCTCCGAGGTCCCCAGTTACCCCCCAGGGCCAGTACTGGGGTGAGGTAAGGGAGGTGCCTGGGATGCAAAACTGAAGGAGGTGCATGTTCTCAGGACCACGCAACTGGGGGATTGGCACCTGGGTGGGGCACCCACCTAGCCTCAACCTAGTCCCAATCCTGAGTCCCCCAGCCCTCCTTCAATGCCAGCCTCACTCCTGTGGCATCTGGCACCACCAGCCACCCTCTCTGGAAGTCTCTCTCCACTGCCTGTCATGGGTACTGCGTTCTGTTGCTCTCCATCTCTTTCACTGGATTCTCTCCTTCCTCCTGGGCAAGAGAAGAAGAACAAGGGAAGACCCACTTCCCATGTTGGCCAGGCTAGTTTTGAACTCCTGACCTCAAGTGATCCGCCCGCCTTGGCTTCCCAAAGTGCTGGGATTACAAGCGTGAGCCACCGCACCTGGCCTTAATTCTTATAAGAACCTTTCAAAGTAAGTGTCATTACCCAATTTTGCTGATGAAGAAATAGAGGCTCCTGGAGACCGAAGAATTGGAAATAGAGAGTTGATCGTTGAGGTCTGATTTATAGCTGAAGATTGAGGTCTAATGTGTAGCTCAAGATTGAAGTCCCCAAAACCTAAAATGCAATAAAAAATAAATAAATAAAAAGTCATAAGATCTATCCAATAGATCCATAAAGTTTCTTCCAACTTTGAGAGTCTAAAATACTTAACATTATAATAAATAGGGGAATGTGAAAAAAAAAAAAAAAAAGATTGAAGTCCATTTATTGAGTGCCTACATCTACCAAGCATGGTTTTAGAGGTCTTTCCATGTATCATTTTATTTAATTCTGAGTAGAACGAAAGGGAAGAAGTGGATGGGAAAGTGCAAAGAGGCCAGGGGAGAACACGCTGTGGGGAAGCTTCGTTTGTGGACAGGCAGAGGGAGAGTGGTTGAAGGGCAACAGGCAGATGGACGGGCAGGTACAGACCTCAGGCACAGAGAAGACACTCCCCGTCACCTGGCAGAACTTTCTCTCCAGGCACGACTTTCCCTGCCCCATTGCCCTGTACAAGTCACGTCCCCATCATCTAACCCTCCCGACAGTCTCCTAACCCACCTGCTTCTTATCTCCTCACAAAGGATGAATCTCCTGAAGTCCAGCTCTGAATAGTGAAGCTCCTCCTCAGAGACCTGAATAGCATCTTCCAGATTTACTCCATTAAGTGCAAATTGCCTCAGTCTAGTACACAAGACCATGCTCCCACCCACTCCCCAGCCTCCAAGCAGGACCCACCGTGCACACAGCACCGCTTCCCTGGATTCACGCTGGCCAATGGCCCTGACTTTGCCTGCACTCCTTTCCTCCCTCAGCACACCCTTGCCCCAATTCCACCTGTCAAATCTTTGCACTGTAAACAGCACACCCACTCTCCTCTCTTCCAAGATCCTGCATCCAGGCCTGACAAAGCCTGAAGCTATTTGCAGATGTTGGCGAGTACACTTCTCTCCGTCAGCTCGGTCAATAATTCACTGCAATGCCAAGTATGGCAAAAGCAAGGCCTTTGCCTTGCCTTCAAATCAAAGCCACAGGGTGGAAAGCAGGAACCTGCCTCGTGGCTGCCATGAACGCTATCTGAGCAGGCAAGTTAGGCGACATGTAACAGTGTCCCTTCAGTGGGAAGCTTGTCAGCCACGGTGAAGCAGCCACCACCAATTGTTTTATTTCTTGATTCCCTTCTGCACCTCGCCCTGCTGTGGGTCCCGCAGGCTCTCAGTAAATACTAATTGAATTAATTAATTAAAGAGCTCTTCCTGCTGGGAGCACAAAACTAATTCCATAAAAACAAAAATAATTTTCCTGCCTTTTGCATCTAAAGCTGACTTCACCAACGATGGAAATATTCTATAACTGGATTGTGGTGACAGTTGCACTACTCAGTAAGTTTACAAAAAAAAAAAAAAAAAAATCACTGAATTGGCCCAGTGCAGTGGCTACACCTCTAATCCCAGCACTTTGGGAGGCTGAGGCAGGCAGATCACAAAGTCAGGAGATGGAGACCATCCTGGCTAACATGGTGAAACCCTGTCTCTACTAAAAAACAAAAAACTAGCCAGGCCAGGTGGTGCACGCCTGTAGTCCCAGCTACTTGGGAAGCTGAGGCAGGGCAATCACTTGAACCCAGGAGGCAGAGGTTGCAGTGAGCCAAGATCGCACCACTGCACTCCAGCCTGGTGACTGTGAGACTCCATCTCAAAAAAAAAAAAAAAATCACTGAATTGTATACCTAATATGGGTTGATTTCATGGAATATAAACTGTACCTCAATAAAGATGCTCCAGGTCTGAAAGATAACCTCAGTTCCTGCAATCCATGGCACCTGTGAATGGCCGGCTGTGGGTAATCTCACGGAACAGTCTAGGCTACTGCAGGGAGCTGAGACCCCTGGGGTGCCCAGGCACCAGGTCAGCCTATAGTCAGGATATAGCATAAAGTGCACTGATCCTACTGAACCGTCCACATTGGGCTCTCTAGTGCCCCAAAGCTGGGGAGTCAAAGCCCAGGCTGAAATCACTTTCCTGCGGAGGTATCCACTGGCTTCCAGGCTGTAGTTCATTCACACAGCAACCTCCACAATTCATGGTTTTACATTTGATTACATTGTGTTACTATTTAACTAGTGTTTGTCGCTCTCTCTTTAAACCACACGCTACAGGAGGTCAAGTACCATGGCTCATGTGTTCATAGTACCCAGCACAGAAGCAAGTACGTAGTAGGTGTTCATTTAAAAAACTGATTGCTGAATGAACGAATGGACACTCTTCACTGACTGAACTAGGGTAAGGCACAAGTCCACTGTTTTCTTTCAGTGCAGCACTGCCCTACAGCTGCGTATTCATGATGAGGGCCCCCCCCAGAGAGGAGGAGCGGCAAAGGGAAGAGGGAGCCAACACTCCCTAAGACACTTCTCTACTTCGCCCTCACAACAATCTACAAACTGATGAGAAATATTAAGTTTATAAATATTGATGAATGCTGGGTGTATGATAGGATATATTGTTTGCTAGGAAGAACAAAGGCAAGGAAAACCTAGTTGCCCTCCTCAAGTGGAAAACCACTTAGGGCATTCCAGAGTGGCAGAACAATGTATAAATACCATACACCAATTCCAACAGTTCTTTGAGATATCTGCCCCCGTGGCTCCCTCGTGGAGAATACCTTTTAGTTTGTCTGTGATCAGTGGTAAGCGGGCACCAGCTGCCTACTTGGTATTTCTTGAGTTATGAGAAAATACAGAATACCTGTTTGTTAATAAGAATCACCTGTTAAGAGAGACATGGATCAGAATCTGCTGGGAGCCTTCAGCCTGGAATACTGTCAGCCCCTGAGGCTCTCAGCTCCGAAGGCTGCTGGCCGACCCCCCAGGATAAACCCACTTTTCTCTTCTGTCTGGGTGTCTGCCTCTCATTTCCTTCAGCGCCGCCTGGGTGGGGGTCTCTATGGCTGAGCTGGTAGTCAGTAACAAACTAGCTATTATTATTGCTCTGTCTACAAATGAGGCAACTGAGGCTTTGCTACCGGAACCCAGATCTGCCAGGCTAGAAAGCCCACATTCTTTCCCAGACATCCCTGATGGGCAAGGCTGAGGTGAGGTGGATGGGCGTCCCTACAGTGCAGTCAAGGTTACCGCTGCACAGGCGGGGATTGAAAATCTGAGGGCCAGTGCAATCATGTGCTACCTTCTGAGGTCCGGTCCCCTGAGTCAGCCTCCTCCAGCCTCTTCCTGCAGTGTATGTGAACCAGCCCTGAGCACACAGGAGACTCAGAAAACAAAAGAGGATCTTCCCAGTCGTGATTGAAAGCCTGAGCCCACTCGCAGCTGGGCAGCCCATGCCCAGTGCAGGTCTCCAAAGGCCTCTCCGTTCACCCTGGAAATACACTCGCTTCTCCATACTCCATTTCCCATCCCAGCATCCCAGACTGCTCCTGCCCCAGAGAAAGCTCCTTGAGAATCCTCCTCTTCTTCCCACATGCTCCTAAGGGAGACACCAAGGTGTCTGCCCAGCTGTAGGGCAGTGTTGCATTGAAGTAAAACAGGGAGTATATGCCTTACCCCAGTTTGTCAGTGAGGAGTGCCCACTCACTCATTCAGCATTCAATCAACTTTTTAAATAAACACCTACTATGTGCTTGCTTCTGTGCTGGGCACTCTGAACACATGAGCCATGGTACATGACCTCATGTGTGTGCCATAAGGTTCTACCCACCCTGGGGCAGGTAGTGTATAGATAGTAACAGGTAGCAGCCGGGCACAGTGGCTCATGCCTGTACTCCCAACATTTTCAGAGGCTGGGCCAGGTGGATCACCTGAGATCAGGAGTTCAAGACAAGCCTGGTCAACATGGTGAAACCTTGTCTCTACTAAAAAATACAAACAATTGGCTAGACATGATAGCTCGTGCCTGTAGTCCCAGCTACTTGGGAGGCTGAGACCCGAGAACTGCTTTGAACCTGGGAGGCAGAGGTTGCAGTGAGACAACATCGCTTCACTGTCTCCAGCCTGGGCAGAGTGAGACCCCATCTTAAAAAAAAAAAAGATAATAACAGGTAGCCATAGCATGATGACTAAGAGGACAGACTTGGGTGTCATACTCCCCAGGTTCAAATTCCAACTTACTAGCTATGAGACCTCGCTATGCCTGTTTTCTCATTTATAAAATGGAGCCATAAATTGTACCTAATTCTCAGGGTTGTCATGGGGATGAAATGAATGAATATATAGAAAACACTTAGTGCCTGGTCCATAAGAAGTGCAATATAATCGTTAGCTGTCATTGTTCATTTCTTTCCCCAGTGCAGTGAAGTTGCCTCTTCATCGATAAGGGGAAAGAGTAGAAGATGCTGAGCTAAGGAAGGCTTGAGGCCATGGCAGCTGCCCTTGGCACTGTCTGATCTCCAAACACTGAAAAAACAGTCCTCCTGCGCCAACTCTAGAGGTTTCTTCATCTCGGCTGCCAGTAAATACAGATGTTGGCACACTGGCACCAGGGAGGAACAGGGTGGAAAGCATAGTAAAAAAAATCAGCACTTACAGGTTGTTTGCTCATCTGTGAACAAAAACAATCCTCCCTGTAAAAATACACAGCTCTGTAAAATATCACTTTTCATAGGCCACCCAGGACAATTAAGAGATTTCCTATAACTGGTGAACCAGGCTGAAAAACAAGGAAGTCAAATTTCTGGGGCAGCTCCAGAAATTATGGGAGGGGGCTTGTCAGCACCAAATCCTCTTGCTTTCTACACTGAAGGAGGACAGGCTGCAGTATACATTCAGACAGCTAGACCAAGGGAGCAGAAAGAAGCACACAACCAACTGTTAGGGAAACAAATTAAGACCACAATCAGGTATCACTACACATCTATTAGAACAGCTAACGTTGACCGGCACAGTAGCTCATGTCTGTAATCCCAGCACTTTGGAAGGCCTAGGTGGGTGGATCACCTGAGGTCAGGAGTTCAAGACCAGCCTGGCCAACATAGCAAAACCCCATCTCAACTAAAAATACAAAATTAGCCAGGTGCAGTGGCACACGCCTGCAGTCCCAGCTACTTGAGAGGCTGAGGCAGAGGAATCACTTGAACCTGGGAGGCGGAGGTTGTAGTGAGCCAAGATTGTGCCACTGCACTCCAGCCTGGGTGACAAGGGCGAAACTCCATCTAAAAAAAAAAAAAGAGAGAGAGAGAGAACAGCTAAAGTTAAGAAAACGTGGCAACGCCAAATGCTGGCCAGCATGTGGAGGAAGTGGATTAAGTTGCTGGGGGGGATGTAAAATGATACAACCACTCTAGGAAATGGTTTGGCAGTTTCTTCAAAAGCAAAATAATATGCTTACCATTGCAACTTAGCAATTGAACTCCTAGGCATTTATCCCAGAGAAGCAAAAATGTATGTCCATACAAAAATCTGAACACGGTTGTTCATAGCAGCTTACTCTGTAATAGCCAAAAACTGAATTAACCAAAATGTCCTTCCATAGGTAAACAGTTAAACTGTGATACATGCATACCATGGAATACTATTTAGTAATTTAAAAAAGCAAACTATTGATAAATTCAACAACTTTAGTGGAACTGAAGGGCATTATGATGAGTGCAAAAAAAGCCAACTTCAAAAGGCTGTACATTGTATGATCCTATTTATAGAATATTCTCAAATGACAGAATTATAGAGATGAAAAACAAAGGCAGGGTAGGGTAACAGTAAAGGGTCCGAACAAGGGAGATGTTTTGATGATGAAATAATTCTGTATCTCGATTCTAGTGATGCCTACACTAACCTCCACACAAAGAAAATAACACTTTGCACACACGTGTACCAATCTCAGAGGCCTGGTTTTGATATCATTCTATAATTATGTGAGAAGAAACAAGAAACTAAATGAAGAATGCACCAGAGTCTCTGTACTATCTTTTCAACTTCCCGTGAATCTACAATTGTTTCCAAATTGTAAAATAAAAAGAAAAGGCTCACAGCCAGAAGAAAACTGGGATTCCAGCTCATACCTCTTTGCTCCAAAATCCTGGTGTTCCTACCAGGTCAAATTATTCACAGCTCTGTGTGTACCACGACATTTCACACTTCCATGTCTTCACACATACAGACTGAGACTGAGACCACCCTTCCCTCACCTAGATAACTTTTCATTTCCTTTAAGATCCAGTCCACGTACCTTCTCCTTAAGGAAGCTTCCTTGACTCCCCGTCCTCAGATCACTGCTCTTCCTCTGCACTTCCTATGCACAGCACTTACTCAACTGAATTGCAAGAATTAGTTTACTTGCTTCCGTCTCCTGCCATGTACAAGCCACAGAATTAGAAAAAAAAATTGCAAAGCATATCCAATAAAGGACTTATCTGTAGAATATATAGGGAACCCTTACAACTCAATCATAAGAAGACAAACAACCGGATTTTTTTTTATGGGCAAAAAAATTCTATACATTTCACCAGAGGAGCTATGCAGGTGGCAAATAAGCACATGAAATGATGCTCAGTATCATTAGTGTTTATGGGAATACACAAAAAAACACAAGGAGATATCACCACACACCTATTAAAATGAAAGAGATGGGCTGTGTGCTATGGCTTAAGCCTGTAGTTTCAGCACTTTGGAGGGCCAAGGCAGGTGGATCACTTGAGGTCAGGAGTTCAAGACCAGCCTGGCCAACATGGTGAAACCCCATCTTTACTAAAACTACAAAAATAAGCCAGGCATGGTGGCAGGCACCTATAACCCCAGCTACTCAGGAGGCTGAGGCGGGAGAATTGCTTGAACCCTGGAGGGAGAGGTTGCAGTGAGCTGAGATCATGAGACTGCACTCCAGCCTGGGCCACAGAGTGAGACTCTGTCTCAAAAAAAAAAAAAAAAAGGACCATACCAAATGTTGGAAAGGAAGTGAAGCGCCTGGAATTCTGGTACACAGTGGCAATATAAAATGGTACACTGTCTAGATGACAGTTTGGCAGCTTCTTTAAAAGTTAAACAGGCCAGGTGTGGTGGCTCACACCTGTAATCCCAGCGCTTTGGGAGGCCAAGGTGGGTGGATCACGAAGTTAAGAGTTTGAGACCAGCCTGGCCAACATGATAAAACCCTGTCTCTACTAAGAATACAAAAATTAGCCAGGCATGGTGACATATGCCTGTAATCCCAGCTACTCTGGAGGCGGAGGCAGGAGAATCGCTTGAACCCAGGAGGCGGAGTTCCAATGAGCCTAGATCGTGCCACTGCACTCTGGCCTGGGTGACAGAGCAAGACTCCACCTGGGTGTGGGGGAGGAAGAAGGCTCCAAAGGAGAGTGAGGGGTGGGGCTGCAGGAGATCTTTGGCATCACTGAAATGACACACTCTCCCTCCTGGGTTGCCACGGCCACAACTACCTCCAACAGCCAAAGCCAGCCCATGCTGGGCCGGATGGGCTAAGGCAGGAAGCGGGCTGTGCCTGCTTCCCAGGACACCCTTTCCTCTACTGCCACTGGACAGTTTCATGTCAAGGACCTAACCAAACAGTCAGCAGAACAGACTCCAGTTCCTCTCATGCTGCAAACAAGACCCTTCCCCTTTCTGTGCCTCCACTTCCTCCAGTGAAAGATGTGATGACTAACGATCAAGCCCTCCAAGGAGCTCTTTTGGCTGTAATTCATGCTCTGAGTGCCCTACTGAGCTGAAGCTGAAGGCAGAGCACCACCTCCACTTAGCAGTGCCTCCCAAATCACTCCCTCTGCCACTCCGCCTCCGCCCCTCAGTCCTGTCACTCAGCAAGTATCTTCCAAAGACCCTGACTCCTTCCTCCATCTGCTGGTTTGTTCCCCAGTTAGCAAGTTAGGCGCTTAAAACTGTGTTCAGGCCAGTCACAGTGTCTCACACCTGTAATCCCAACATTTTGGGAGGCTGAGGTGGGCAGATCACCTGAGGTCAGGAGTTAGAGACCAGTCTGGCCAACATGACAAAACCCCGTCTCTGCTAAAAACACAAAAATTACCAGGGTGTGATGGCGGGCACCTATAATCTCAGCTACTTGGGAAACTGAAGCAGGAGAATCACTTGGACCTGGAAGGCAGAGATTGCAGTGAGTCAATATCGCGCCATTACACTCCAGTCTGGGGAACAGAGCGAGATATTGTCTCCAAAAAAAACCTGTCTTCAGGAGTCTAAGAACCTGAGACACATAGCTACTTGAGACATAATTTCTCCCTTTAGAGTTCTTGAAGGAAAGGCTGGCAATGAGTGACAGGGTGGGTGGGAAAGAGAAGGTCGTAAGCAGCCTTGAAGTATGGAAGCACCTCCTCTTGAACCCTGACAGATCTGTATGTCCAAGTGTGGGCCAGAATTTCTTGCCCAGACAGGCTGGGATATTTGGCACGGCACATAGTAGGCTTTGAGTAAGTAACTGTGGAACTGAATTAAATCCCTCTTGCGAGAGGAATAATCTCTTCCTGAGTTGCAGAGGAGAAGCAAGCATATAGATCTCCATGCACTCCCCTGGAAACAGTTCTGAGAGTCGAGAGAGAGAGATACCCCTTGCTTCTAAGTCGAGGGGAGATCTGGGGACACAGCGCCACTGGGCCTCACCTCCGGGGGCATCAGCTGAATGACAGGACTACACTATAGCATTCTATAAATGCTCCTAGCTCTGGTGCTATCTTACTCTACAAGGAAGAGCCCTTGGGGTTTGAAAAGAACAGTGCAGTATTTTGTAAAGCTCCAAGCACTTTGAGCTGCAGCTGTTCACAGAGCTTCGGAGGTGGAGTGATATTCCCCGAGGGGAAAGGCTCTGAGTGTCAGAACTGGATTTGGGAACCCCGACATAAAGAGCACTCACTGGCTTTGAGAAGCTGTGGAGATCACAGACAGCCTTAGGGTCTCTCTTTTGCTTACAAGCTGTGAAATCTTGCAGAAGTCTCTTTACCTCTGTAAGACTCAATTTCCACTCTCATAACATGGGATAGATATCTCGTTAGCTCATTGCAGAATTAAATGAGATAATGAGACAGAACACAAAACACTATGCCTGTAACATCATGAGCTTAGTCAACTAAACCCCTCCCTACATGGGCAGGGAGGCTCACTGTGTGCAAAACATTTTTGTTTTCATTATTTTATGGGACCCTCACGATTGTCATATAAAATAATGATGGAGCTCATCAAGAACATGAACTCAGTCAACAGTCTTCCCTTCCTTCCCTTTGTCTTAAACAGACCTAAAGGTTCTCAGAATAAGATCTTAGTTAGGCCAGGCCTGGTAGCTCATGCCTGTAATCCCAGCACTTTGGGAGGCCAAGGCAGGTGGATCACAACATCAGGAGTTCGAGACCAGCCTGACCAACATGGTAAAACCCCATCTCTACTAAAAATACAAAATAATTATCTAGGTGTGGTGTGCACGCCTGTAATCCCAGCAACTAGGGAGGCTGAGGCAAGAGAATCGCTTGAACCTGGGAGGTGGAGGTTGCAATGAGCCAAGACTGCACCACTGTACTCCAGCCTGGGCAACAGAGCAACATTCCATCCCCCCCAAAAAAATAATAATAAAAAGTGAGATCTTAGTTGATTTTGCTGACCAGGAAACCAAGCCCCTGAGAGAGGGACCTCAGGAAGTATACTGGGGCTTCAGATACAGAGCGGGGAATAGAAACGGGGGAGGGAGGGCTGGCATCTGGAGACCACCCACCATGTCCCCTGCCAGTCATATGCAAGCTCCATGATGAGGCAGTCTCCTGAGCAGCACTCCATCCTCTGCCCCTCGACCTGGGCTCCCTTCCTCCCAGGAGTACGTACTTTCGCCTCAGGCACTGGTAATCACCAGCTCGGTGACCTAGGTTCTTAATATGAGGACATGGGATCAGATGGACTCTGTAGACCTTCCCACCTTTATAATTTTCCAAACCTACAATTCTACAAAGATAAACTGGTGCTTAACTGGTGTCCCACCCACTCCCCACCCCTCCTTTGGGACACATGAAGGAGATTCAGGAAGCAGAGGGAGACGGGCAGTGGCTGGGACTTCATTATGCTAATGTATTAGCTCTAATCCGCTGCAACAGCAGGGCTTTGAAGAAAGAGGCTTTTGTTGCAATTTCACATTTGGCAGGAAGTTCCCCACACCCCCATTAGAGATTATGAGTCAAAAGCTCTCATTTCAGTTCTGGCTCTCACATCCTGCATTGCTGAGCCTTCCTTTTCACACTTCTCTGGCCAACTTCTTGACTTTTCCAGGAAGGAAATGTGCCCCAGATGTTGGTCAGTAAATGGTGGGTTTTCATCTGCCTTTATAAAAGGGTGTCAGTAACTCACAGCTTCCCCAAGGAGCAGGAGCCAAAGCGAGGAAATGCCGCCGACTTCTCTCTATGGCTAAACCAAAGGCCTCCCCTTCAACTAAGCCCCTCCTACATGGGCAGGGAGGCTCACTGGAGGCAAAACCTTTTCGTTTTCATTATTTTTACGGGACCCTCACGATCGTCTCATGAAATAATGATGGAAATCTCATTTTCATTTATTCACGCAACTAATGTTGCCAGGCACCTACTGTTCACAGGTGAGGAAATGAAGGACCACACAGAGGAAGTGATTTGCCAGATGCCTCACAGCCTGGTGTCAAGTAAGCCCTGAAACCAGGCATGCTTGTCTAATCAGAATTTCCAAAACACAAAGGCTTTGGATTGTAGCATTTGCTCATTTCCATGGCATAAGTTTTCCCATTGTGGTCAATTTCAAGTCACCAATAGTGTTTAATAGTTTTTAACAAGCACTTTGCAAAATTCTTGAATATATAAAAACTGGGAAACAGGGTTTCTAAATTAGGGGCAAGTTTTTCTTCTGCCTCACCTTTCTACCTCCACAAAGGAAAAATCAACATCCTGTGGAAGCTTAAAGAGTAACCTTAATAGGAAACCACCTGAAGGTTTGTTAACGAGTAGGATTTCAGATATATTTTCTTTTCTTCCACAACAGTGTTTTTCCAGTAATCCTATGCGCACATATTACCTTTATAATCAGAACATACACAGGTAATTAAAATCAATTTTTAGTGAGCTTCCCAGAATGTTTTGGAATAATTTGTCTCTGCGTAATTTGTCACTCTGTCACCCTTGGGTTGAAGGAAGAGAGAGCGCACGCGTGTGTGTGTGTGTGTGTGTGTGTCTGTGTTTGTGTGTGCGTGTGTGTTTGTGTTGTGTGTGTCTGTGTTTGTGTGTGCGTGTGTGTTTGTGTTGTGTGTGTCTGTGTTTGTGTGTGTGTGTTTGTGTGTGTCTGTGTTTGTGTGTGTGTGTCTGTGTTTGTGTGTGTGTGTGTCTGTGTTTGTGTGTGTGTCTGTGTTTGTGTGTGTGTCTGTGTGTGTGTGTGTCTGTGTGTGTGTGTGCCTGTGTTTGTGTGTGTGTGTGTCTGTGTGTGTGTCTGTTTGTGTGTGTGTGTGTCTGTGTTTGTGTGTTTGTGTGTGTGTGTGTGTGTCTGTATTTGTGTGTGTGTGTGTCCCAATACCTCCCTTGCAGAGCAGAGGAGGTATATTTAAGTTAAGCATTCACCTGAATTTGGTTCAGTCTTAACTGGAGTATAAATTTATTCTTTTTGGAATTCAAATTTCCCCAGTAGTTGAGAAAATATAATTCCAATCAAGATTCCAAAAGACCTGCTCTGACAAACCAGAAGCCTCTTTGGCCACCAAATGACCTCACCTCCCCACGGGCTGAGGTTGAAGCAGATGGTTTGACTGAACCAGAAACAATGGCTCCTTCTTCCTGAGCCTTAGAGAAGGCCTTCTGCCTCCTGCCCCTGCAAAAAGGCATTGTGTCCTCTCTTCCTCAGGCTGGGATTCAAGGGGTCTTACCTCAGCACTGGGATGGAAAGCTGGTACCAGGGCTTGGGTCAGGCTCAAGGGGGCCGGTCCATTTCAGCTGGGCTCCATGACATTCACCACTTCTCCCTGGACTGCTGGCTGCAGGGCTCTGCACAATTGGCTCTACCTTCACCTGCAGCGGGGAAAAAGAACAACAAAGTTTCACCAGAAGCACATGCATTAATGCATTCAAGAGAAAAGAGCCTTTGCCCTTCCCACTGCCAGCTCTGGTCACTCGTGCCACTTCAAAGCATCTTTCAGAACCACAACCCTCACCTGAAGCAGCCAGCCTCCTTCCCAGGACCTAAATGAGTTACATGTTCACCCATACCCGTCCCTTCTGGGGCTACACAATTTCAGAGCGAGTTGTAGATTAGGCAAAGCAAACTCTACTACAGTCATGGAATCCTTATGTTACTCATTAGTCACAGTACAAAAAAGCAAGGGTTAGAAAGCCACAGATTAGTGGGCACGGTGGCTCATGCCTGCAATCCCAGCACTTCGGGGAAGCCAAGGCGGGCGAATCACCTGAGGTCAGAAGTTTGAGACCAGCTCACCAACATAGTGAATACCTGTCTCTACTAAAAATTCCAAAAATTAGCTGGGCGTGGTGGCGGGTGCCTGTAATCCCAGCTACTCAGGAGACTGAGGCAGGAGAATCGCTTGAACCTGGGAGGCAGAGGTTGCAATGAGCCGAGATCGCTCCATTGCACTCCAGCCTGGGCAAAAAGAGGGGTCCTTCATCTCAAAAAAAAAAGAAAGCTACAGATTGGGCCCAAGTCTTGTGTTTAGAGAAGGCTTGTAGACAATGGATTTCAATCAACAAATATGTCAAACTGGTTCACACTTTCTTTTGACCTATAGTATGTTGTTTAGCCGTTACAAATGTGAATTCAATTTCTAATTCATTTTGGAAGCATTTTTAACTGATCCTAAATTTTCAACCTATATAGTACTATAGTTGTCTGAATAGAGAGCATTTGTTTTTAAAATAATTGTTTTTCCTTGTGTCAAAAAAATGTATGTTCAATCGATAAATTTTAGAAAATATAATTAAATGAAAAGGACAAAATGTGCCCATTCTTTCTTCATCCAAGATAGCTACAGATAACATACTCTGCCTGTTTCTTCTTTTTATTTTTCAATGTTTTATAAAGATGTAATAAAGCTAGGCATGGTTTAGTAAGTGCTGCGTCTTTAAGGAACCTTCAGCAGCATTTTAATGGCTACATAATAGATGCGTACCCATGGATCTCTAAGGAGCCATGTATCATACCCTAAATAGCTGTACCACAAATTGTATCCAATCCTCAGAGGCTGGACATTTAAGTCATCTCTACACTTTTTTTTTTTTTTTTTTTTTTTTTTTTTGGCTAATGGCAAATAGTCTTTGAAACAAAATCTTCCAGGGAGACCCATGATTATACACTTCTGACACAATCTTAGGAATAAAATTGTGCTGGGTCGAAGAGTTTCAAAATTTCTCAGGCTTTTGAGCAGTCTTGGCGTGCTACCTTCAGGACCACTGGTACCATAGACACTGCTCCCAGCAACCCATTCCCCAACACTGCTCTCTCCCCAAGTCCCTCATCACACACATATCTTCGTTCACCTGGTGTAACCATTTCTAGTAGAAATAAAGGTGGAAATCCCAAAGTCTGACTTTTCATCTTTCATGCTCCCACTCAGCTCAGCCCAAGCCTAAGATAAGATCCATTATGCTAAATTAACTCCCCTAATCAAGCTTGGGAAAGAGGGATGCATGAATGATAATTAGTAAGGAGAGAAAGAGAACCCCGGGGGAGGGACTGGGGATGATAGATACACAAGGATGGTGTCCAGGGGAAAGAAACCCCTAGATACAAAGAGAAACAAGAATCATCCCATGAGACGGCAAATGCTGATAGACAGAACTGAAGCTGAAGTGAGCCATGTGACAGGTGGAAACGTCGAGACCTCACAAAGCTTCCGGGCAGAACGGGGCCAACAACAAAGGCATCTGGTGAGATGGAAAAAGAAAAAATTGCTTAAGGCCTTGGGCACTTTGTTGCTGTTTATAATTAATGCCAACTAAACACCAGGAGCCAGAGTCACCAAAGGGAAAAGAGAGCCATCGGGGAAGAGGCCTCTGCAGGCAAAGAGCTGAGCTAGTGGTCAGCTGGGACCCACCCACAAGGAGCCTTCCTAGGGGAACAGGAGCAAAGTGCTCCTAGGGTGGGGCTGGGGGTGGGCACTGCTGGGCTGACTGCTCTACCTCCTTAATAGGAAGGAAGACCCCACTCTCCATCTCTCCCTAGCCAGCCTCTTGTATTCTTCCTTTCACTCCAAGCCAAACCTTCAGTGAGAGATGGATAACCCACCTACACAGATAACAAGGTTTCTCAGCCTTGTGACCCAGGCAAAGGCCTTGGGAACCTGTCTCATACCCCTTTCCAGCTGACCAGGACCCTGCTCTGCCACTCCCCTGCACCCTACACTCCAGCCATAGTAATCTGCAGATTCATGAGGGAATGGGAGGTTCCATTCATGCTTCCTTAGTCCTTTGGAAAATGGCTTACAGATCTTCAGTATTAAGGCAAATCATTCTACCTGCCTACCCTGCCCCTACCCCACCTACTCATACACCCGGACTTCCACTGATGGACAAAGGATAGAACTTTGACTTAAAGACAATTCATACATACACAAGGAAGCTGGGCCGATCTGACACTCTTTCAAAATTGCAACTATGAAAAAAGACTCTAGTCAGCTGGTGGTAGACCCTGGAATTAAAGGAAAGGTGGTGGTGGAACCATGACAGGCAAATATCATGCACAAGATCAAGTGATGAGGCCAGGCATGTGGCTCACTCCTGTAATCCCAGCACTTTGGGAGGCCAAGGCAGGCGGAGCACCTGAGGACAGGAGTTCGAGACCAGCCTGACCACCATGATGAAACCCTGTCTCTACTAAAAATACAAAAATTAGCTGGGCGTGCTGGCATGCACCCATAATCCCAGTTTCTAGGGAGGCCAAGGCAGGAGAACTGCTTGAACCCGGAAGGTGGAGGTTGCAGTGAGCCGAAATCACATCACTGCACTCCAACCTGGGCGACAGGTTTTTGAGACTCTGTCTCAAAACAAAACCAGAAAAAAAAAAGGTCAAGTAATGGAGCTGCAGGGGCCCTATGGAAGGAGAGGAAGCTGCCCTACAAAGACAGCAGGATGGAGGCCCAGGGAGAGGTAGACAGGACACCATGCAGGCCCAGGACAGCAGGTGTGTAGTGAGTCTAGTGGCCGCTAGGCTCTTCTGTGCATGTCTTACTCCTGCACACACTCCCTGACCTCCTTCAATTTGGGAAGGTGTCTTTGTTTCTTGCAACCAAAATTGTTCCACCTAAAACAATCTCTCCAAGGCCCTGAGGCCGCAGCAATCTTGGGCTGGGAAATCAGGATGGAAAGAGCAAGTCTTCTTCCCAGCTCTGCTCAAACCACAGCAAATCTATGCAAATTAGAGTCCTGGTACTGAGGGCTGGTGCTGCAAGTAACCCAGCCTGTGAGGCTTAGGCAAGGAAAGAGTTCACATGGGCCTCGGTTTCTTCATCTTGTGCAAGAGCTTGCTGTAAATGGGCTCTGGGGTCCCAGCTGGCTCTGGCTCCTGAAGCCTAAGGGGGCTCTGAGTGAGACTGGGGGCTCCCCTGTGACGTAGTGCACGGCTTTGGGGCACGGCTTGTGCCATCCATTGTGGCACTCAAAAGCCTTTTTCTTTTTTTAACTTTTTTCTGAAGTTTGTAGCTGAACTTCTGGCAGATAATCAAAATCTACTGGATGGGACCAGGTGCGATGGCTCATGCCTATAATCCCAGCACTTAGGGAGGCCGAGGCAGGTGGATCACCTGAGGTCAGGAGTTCAAGACCAGCCTGGCCAACATGGTGAGGTCATGATAGCAGAACTTGTGGTGACAGATTACAGGGGGTTGTGAATTAAATGGAAACTCTATTAAAATGGCCAGGAAACCCTTGAGTAGGTAGGAGGCTTGGGGACCCTATGATCAGCTAAATGTGTTGTCTCTACTAAAAACACAAAAATTAGCCAGGTGTGGTGGTGCATGCCTATAATCCTAGCTACTCAGGAGGCTGAGGCAAGAGAATTGCTTGAACCTGGGAGGTGGAGGTTGCAGTAAGCCAAGATCGTGCCATTGTACTCCAACCTGGGTGACAGAGCGAGACTCCATCTAAAAAAAAAACCAGAAAACAAAACAAACAAAATCCACTACTGATGGGATTATGCTGGATTGCTAAAGTGTAGTTGCATGACTCTTCTATTTTAATTCTAAAATTTTTTTCTATTAAGTAGATTATATAAACTCCTATTTCCATACTCAGCACTGCATATTTAGCTGATCATAGGGTCCCCAAGCCACCTACTTACTCATGGGTTTCCTGGCCATTTTAATACAGTTTCCATTTAATTCACAACCCCCTGTAATCTATCGCCACAAGTTCTGCTCTCTGACCTCACTCCTATCCCACAAAGGTCACTGGGCCTGATGTCCAGATTTGGTTTCCCTACTTCCCGCTTGAGGTCCAGCCACCCAAGATCCTGCTTGACTCCTTCCTTGTGCTCGGGGTCTGTACTCTGCTTTATCTCTTGGGGCAGCCCTCCCCCCACACTAGAGCCCCTGGCAGCAGCTCAGCCAATCCCCTTTCTCTTCCACCCTTAGACCGAGAAGCATCTAGATGACATGAAAGATGATTCTAAGGGAGCGTGTGGCTAAATGAGAGGATGCATTGGGTGCAGTGCCTCCTCTTGCCTCCAGCAAGTGTTTCCTTCAAGTAAGTGCACAATGTATAAGGCACCAACCATAGACCCAGAACCAGGATTTGGGGAGCCCACCAAGAACCAAGGAACCCAAAGAAGTTCATAAATTGAGCCAAGAATTTCATGGCCCCGCCTGGCAAAGGAGAACCATTGCTTGAGCACTCTGTGTTGAGTCAGAGAATGGGTTCACCTGTCACAGGAGTAAGGCTGTGGCCCCAAGCCCCTGGCTTCAAGAAGCAATCCCCACCCGCCTCCAGCACACAGGAGCCTTAGGGTAAGAGAACCCTGTTAAGCCTGGAGCCATTCTTCCACATTGTCTGAGATGTCAGCAATG